AACTAGTTTATTATTTCTCAATATAACTTTGCAATACACTTAATTTCCAGTGTCACTTTAACTTCAACACATGCTATAATTCACAACGATTCACGCTCTTTACTTACAATCACTACCACGCTTGACTCAGATGTCCATCTCTATCTCTGCCTGTCTACAATTCTATTCCGATTAATTATCTAGTGCACTTATATACAAGAATAGAGGAAGTCTAGCAAATACTGGATTATTCGTGATGTTCCCCGATCATTCTAGAATGCATTACGTGTTACCAGCGTCATGTGACTTCCGCTGTCATAACAATATGTTAAAAGTTTTATGCATGAAATTTGGCCTACAATTAAACGTGGTTTTAACAAGCATTATTGAGGAAATATATAAGTTAGTTCGAACTATGTGGACTGGACTTGGCATTATTTTTACCAGATAATCTAAGAAACCTACCAACTGATAAAACACTTTACAACTGTATCTTTCAATTATGAAATACAGAAAAACTTCAAACATTCATGACCTAACCACAATGTCATTGATTGTGCTAAAATTGAGTTAATCTAAGTTAATATGAAATTAGAGTATGTTTAGACTGATTTCAAATTTTAAGTCTTATCCACACAACAATAAACTAAGAAATGGACACATTGTATATAAAATTGATGACATTCTGGTTTTTTTATTATTGCTGTTTCCATGATGATACACCATAGCTATTGTTGTGTATCTGCTTGTTTGTAATTTCCAGTATGAATTCTTTCCGAGGAACTTAAGCGATACAAGTCCCTTCTTGATTGAACCAGTTTATTCTTTATCGATACAAACTTTTAGTACACAGTAATTCCACAATCAGTACGTTTCTTATCACGTTAAAGTTAACAACTTTTGTAATACACGCTATAAATCACAGCGATTCACAATCTCCATAACTTTTCTCTCTACGAGTACAAACACACACAGACACTTTATATTACCGTTACTACTGTTCGCTTCTTTAATTATCTATCTATCGCTGGCTTCTCTGCCAGGCTTATATACCTACCCGATCATTCGAGAAATTCATCACGTGTCACCATGGTCACGTGACTTTCGCTGTCGTAACACTATTAAAATCTCTTACTCAAAGTCATCCTTTAAAACGTAAGAATAAAAAAAGTTAAATAATCAGATTTTTGTTTATTTGTTCACTTTGTTGTCAAGTGCAAAGCTATAAGAAGGGATATCTGTGCTCTTATTACCGAAGGTATTGAAAATAGATGTTTAGCGGTATAAACCCACATATTACAGCAGAGCCACTGCAGTTGGCCAAAATAGTGAGAGAGTAGAGAAGATTACATTAATGATTCTAAACCAGTTGGGTATTTATTTGTTCGGTTATCCAGATGCGTAAGAGATATTTGTCTGTCAATCGCAATGGGTACAATCAGAATTATCTCAAGTTCAACAGGACATCACAAAAAGTGCGGGAATGAAGAAAATATGGATGAAGATTTTACGTTTGCACGGGGATATATTTCAGTTATATAATAAATTAGGTCAAATTCTTCGGCGCGAATTACAAATAAATGTGAATTCTAGAAAAGAGATTCCCAGAAAATCAGTAAAAAAAAAGAGG